AGCTAGAAAATGTTATATACTACAATAAGGTTAGCTCGACTAAATAGCTAGAAAATGTTATATACTACAATAAGGTTAGCTCTACTAAATAGCTAGAAAATGTTATATACTACAATAAGGTTAGCTCTACTAAATAGCTAGAAAATGTTATATACTACAATAAGGTTAGCTCGACTAAATAGCTAAAAGTTCATTGGTTTCATCTCTGTCAGGCCAGCTCTAATAAATAGCTAAAAGTTCATTGGTTTCATCTCTGTCAGCCAGCTCTACTAAATAGCTAAAAGTTCATTGGTTTCATCTCTGTCAGCCAGCTCTACTAAATAGCTAAAAGTTCATTGGTTTCATCTCTGTCAGGCCAGCTCTACTAAATAGCTAAAAGTTCATTGGTTTCATCTCTGTCAGGCTAGCTCTGCTAAATAGCTAAAAGTTTATTGGTTTAATCTCTGTCAGAAAAATAATTTTTATTCTTTGCCTTTTTTTTTCACGTAATGTGAACACTGAATTTCCTAAAACTTACTATTTATTTAACATAATTTTAAATACCTGTTTTTATAAATTGATAAGCACAACATATCATTTTCAGTCAATCATCAGGTGTCACCTTTATTTTACTTAAACACTTAAGTACAGTTTTAAATATACATATATTTATCCATTTCTAAAGTAAAATATCCCTAACAACTTTTCACATACGCTCTCGCCCTTGGCTACACCGTATCAGAAATGAGATGCTTACAACAGTACATAGAGAAATAGACTAAACATTTCCTGGAAAACCGGTAATGGTGTTTAGATAGTGTTCATATTTCATACAAGTTAAAGATATAAAACAATTTAAATTATTTTATCAAAGCTATTAATAACTTCATTATTAACTTCTGATAAGAGCAAGTAACCTACTTAGATCAAAATCTACTTTTTGTAATGAATGTACTTAATCAAATATACTTTTCTTATATATAAATATTAGAATGTGTTGTTGGATCAGTTGGTAACCCTTGCTCTTAACACTATTTTAAGCAGTAAATGTTGACAGTCCTTTTCTTATATACGGGAATTGTGACAACGATGATAAAACTGTCAAACTACCTCACAAATACACTCAGTTTATTCAAATCGGTAATGATATAATAACTCATTTTAGAAAAACTATTTTGTTTAAAAATGAATATGTTTATTTTCTACCAAATCATTATTGCCATCATAAGACAGAATACACAAGCAAAACCTACACTAATTATCTGTGTGCCACTTGTGCATAGCTATATATTTAAAACTTTATTCCAAGTCCCAATATATATGGGAAGTATCATTTAATGTGTAACCTTTTCTTGTACAATTTAAAAAGTGACTAACCTCCTTTCAGCAATCTAAATCGGCAAGAGGACCAAAACTTATTGTCAAAGTCTAGAGAGTATAATGTCTATATATAAAGTAGAAAATCTTATTTCATGCCTACACCTTAGGAGTAATCTCAACCAAAACTTGTCATTTGGATCTAACCCCCCCATTAAAAAATCCACCCTCCGGAGACCCCACATGTTGAATGGGTACATTAGCGGACATATAGTAAAATCCTTAATTTTATTGATTGTTCTTCAAAAAGAGTATATACCAAAAGTCTTGCTAAAAGAATCATTATAAATTTGATCCATGTAATCAAGGACTTAAATCATGTAATAAGCAGACATTATTAATGACAGACATTTTTGAACATACATCCCATACAAAAGTCTTATACCGATAACATTACTGTTAAACAACAAAGTTATTCAATCTTTTGTAAACTTCACATCAGTCAGTAAACACATTTCTGAACTAACTGTATATTATCTAACATTTTTATAATGGTAAGGCATAAGCTGTTAATCTACACAATATCAAGACTTATTCCACCACAGTCACAATTATTTTTCGTTCTCTCAAGAATTTAATACAATATGGTCATAATTTCATGTTTGTGACTCTCAAAGCTAATCATTTAGCAGTTATAACGGGGCTTTTTGCACAATTAAGGTTTATTTTGAATCCATCACATTTTACCTGTTCTATTATATTATATTTCAAACTGGGTTTTCATGGTTTACCATTTATTGTAATATCAAGGACAATCCTTGTCCAAATGCCTTCCTTTGACAAATCCTAGACCAAATGTCTTTCAGGGATAAATCCTTGTTTGAATAACTTATGGACTGTTTTTGGCTTAGACTTGTTCAGTCATAACATCCAGTTACATTTAAAATTATTGGAAAAATAAGGCTTACCCTATAACAGCCATACTTGTGTTGTTGTTTTGATTTATCACAGTTTATCCTCTACTGTTTTGTTTTTTTAATATTAAGAAATTATTCTCACTTCTACTATTAAATGTTTTTCCTGGTTTAGTATTATCACAGTTTATCCAAATACGACGACAAATTATATTGTATTTACCCAAGCTTCTACTATTAAATGTTTTTCCTTGTTTAGTATTATCACAGTTTATCCAAATACGATGACAAATCATATTGTATTTACCCAAAGCTTCTACTATTAAATGTTTTTCCTTGGTTTAGTATTATCACAGTTTATCCAAATACGATGACAAATTATATTGTATTTACCCAAGCTTCTACTATTAAATGTTTTTCCTGGTTTAGTATTATCACAGTTTATCCAAATACGATGACAAATTATTTATTTACCCAAACTTCTACTATTTAATGTTTTTCCTGGTTTAGTATTATCACAGTTTATCCAAATACGATGACAAATCGTACTTTATTTACCAAAGCTTCAACTATTAAATGTTTTTCTTGGTTTAGTAGTATCACAGTTTATCCAAATACGATGACAAATTATATTGTATTTACCCAAGCTTCTACTATTAAATGTTTTTCCTGGTTTAGTAGTATCACAGTTTATCCAAATACGATGACAAATTATATTGTATTTACCCAAGCTTCTACTACTAAATGTTTTTCCTGGTTTAGTAGTATCACAGTTTATCCAAATACGATGACAAATTATATTGTATTTACCCAAGCTTCTACTACTAA